CAGTTTCTTTTGATTCAGTTGCTAGAGTTTCTACAGTTTATATACAAGCTATGGAAATCTGCTGAAAGAATCTCAGTTCAAGGTAAGTTATTTAGAGATATCAAGTTCTTATCTTTCACTATTACCAGAAAGTTCCCCAAACTCCTAAGCTCCCCTGAGATTTAGGTATTCTGTGAAGCCACTAGGAAATTAGCCATAGATATGTCCCAATTCTATCACATTATGTAGAAGGTAATGTTATGCAGACTACAGACTATTTCTATATGGACTAGTTTGTCTTCCTTTACAAAAAGTAGCAGAGAAACCACAACAGAACAGTTGTGTGTGAGAATCCTTTCTTTAATTTTCACATTATTCTGTTTCAGTCTCTTCCACCCTTTTGACTTGAAAACTAAATCAGAAGTCCTGAAGTGAACAAAGTCTTCATTTCTCTCTCGGTATTCTTGAGATCTTGCTGTCTCTTCTGGACTGCTTGAGCTAGAGAAGTTCCTCAATAGGCATAGGTAACTTTTTCTCTTCCTGAGGCTTTAAGTGAATTTTGTTGGTATAACATCAAAAACGTGCGATCTTCTTGTAAAAAGGCAGTTAAGATATTTGGGTATTTAGATACCAAGATATATCATAGTCTTTCCCAGTAATTTTAATCACAGAATGGTTAGGGTTGGAAGGGACCTCTAGGGATCATTTAGTCCAACTTTCCTGCTCAAGCAGGGATACGTAGAACACATGGCACAGGGTGGCATCCAGGCAGGTTTGAAGACCTCCAGAGAAGGAGACTTCACAACCTCCCTGGGCAGCCTGTGCCAGGGCTCTGTCACCCTAACAGTCAAAAASTTCTTCCTCACATGGAGATGGAACTTCCTGTGTTGGAACTTAACACCCATTGCATCTCATCCTATCACTGGCCRCCACTCAGAAGAGCTTGGCCCCTTCCTCCCTACATTCCCTCGTCATGTTCTTATACATATTAATCAGATTCCCTATCAGCCTTCTCTTTTCCAGAGAAAACAGGCCCAACTCAGTCTCTTCTCGTACAAGAGATGTTCCAGTCCCTTAATCATTACATTATATTACATTAATTTACATTACATTAATTTAATGTCCTGTCATTTAAAAATTCAGACAGAATGTAAATCAGTTGAGAAGATCAATGATAAAGAACCAATCGAGGATCGCATTCTAGGTATATCTGGACATCACTGGCAGGCAGCAGTAAGGGACTTCTGGAGAGTCATATTCAATAAAAACAGCACAACAAAAGTGGAAATTATCATGCTGTTCATAATAGCTTAGATGCAGGAGAGCAAGAARAGAGCAAACTCATGGGGGAGACTTTTTTTTCCTTTAAAAAACGCAATGGATTGTAAAATGTTCCCTAATGTTCTTTCACAAAGAAATTATTTAAAATGCCAAGTTTTCTCWCAGCATGTAAAACATTTACAAGTACTCCGGCTTCTCTGCTGCCACATGTTAAGTGGCATGTCCATAGACAAGGCACTTGGGTTAGCAGATGAAGGAACTGGGCTAGAAGACGCCTGTAGACATATCAACACCACAGCTGAAAATCTCTTCCTGAGGGACAGGAATAGGCAAACCTGCCATCTCACAAACAAGCTGAACATTGTTTAGTAGTTCTATAAATTCATAAAATATCCATGCTTTTGCTGCTTAACAAGATACTTCAGTAAAATATGAAGTTAATGATTTATTAGTTTAAATAATTTACTTTACAATTGAATTAACATGCCAGAAGTGTTGCAAAATCTACAAGGAAAGTAAATCCTTTTAAAGTGGCTCAGTAATTTAATTAGCATATTCTTTTTATGCCATGTTTCAACAGTTACTATTCATGCTTGGACCTCAAAGTAACTCCTTCTGGTTAGACCAGGAAAAAGTGTTTAATTTGACTATGTGGGAAATGGAAGGTGTTTAAGAAGATCTGTGTCGTGCTTTGGTAAAAAGCATGACAAAGGTTTCAAATGAACATACATGACTGATTGATTTTGTATCTGATGGCTTCAAAGGTGGTGCAAGATTGCATGATAATAATGGACATTAAATTACCTTTTTCACAGCAGCGTGTATCATTTGGAGTCAGATCATAAAACGGATGAGGAAATCTTAGCTTCTCACTCCTTGCTACACTTTGAAACAGCAAAAGAGTCTTCGCAAGTGTCGTTAGTTGCCATTACGATTCTCAAAGGAATAAGTTAAACTTGAAGCTATACATAAAAAAAATCACATTTCTAATAATTCATAAAGGCAAGATTAATGCGGAAAGCATATTGCAGCATATGAAAGCAGCTTAAAATATGGGTTAACCCTCAAAAATAACAAAGTAAAATGTTTTGTAAAGCAACATGATTTTCTAGGTAGGCAAAATGTTCATGWAAACTCAGAAATGTTGTTTAGCTACCTCTAAGTTAACAAGCCAGCTTTAACAGGACTGCACAAAATTTGTAATAAAATAAAACAGAGGGTCCTGTAATCATCTTCAAAAGACTCTATAATTAAAATCTGAATTTAGCCAAACACTGTCTTCTTTTTTATTATTTTTAAATGTACTTTTTTTCATTAAGCCTTGTGAACTGGTTGCTTTTGTCTATGATACTTAGAAATTTTAACTCTTGCCTAATCAAGATGTRGAATTCCAAAATTCAGTAGGATTAACTCTGAAGAATGTGACAGAAGATACCTTTTGAAGAAATATACTTGAAGCAAACATACTGATTCATAGTTTAAATTTTAGTAGCATCTAGAGACCCTGTAGAAGACTACAGCCACTGAATCAAGTACTGAACATATATACACATATTCACACACATATACACACCATGACATAATGGTATGCATATTCCACAAAGCTTAAAGTTTAAATATTTAAAGTCACATGGAAAGAAATTCGTATTTTTATTTTATATATTGTTAATTGAAAACACTATGAAGAAATGACATAGACCCCAGGGAACTGTTCATCTTTCCTGAGACCCCCATTATGCCTGTGTTTCACCTCCTTTTAGTAAGAGATTTGTGTCGCACTCTTTTTGCATGATGTGTTGGTATTTTGTGTTKCATGGTTATTGCAGTTCTCTAAGCCTCAACAACACATAGAGGYATAAAATACAAATAAACTAAAGCCCTTACACAAAATAGAGGGCCCTCTAATAAAGAAAAAAATGGAAGATTCAAAGTCAGAAGCAATAATTCTTGCATGTTCACATATAACTAGGACCAGTTTTGTTTTTGGCCAAATGTATCTTTTTTATTTTTTTTCCTCAGWATAGCCAATCTATTGTGTTCTCTCTGCAACCTTACACAGATTTGAAAAACTGTACTGCATGCTCCAAGCAAGATGCATGGAGCCATGACCTTAACTTTTTCATGGACTCACTGTTTTATGACCAAAAGTTCTATTTTGGGGGATTGGAATGATACAGTATCTCTCAAAAAGCTGCAAGAAAACCTGAATTCTTCTGGAAGACAGGGGGAAGGCTAGCAGATAGTTGTGTCTGTAGTTAATTCAGTTAGAAAAGAAGAGGTAGATTCAGAGCCTTTTTTYCCCCCCTCTCTAAAGCTGTACTACAGCATATCTCTCCAAGCTATTATTTGCCCACATGAGGATTTCAGAYGAGAGGCATGGCAGCAGGCAGACAGGAAGGCCTGCCTGCAGAACCACTAGGCACCAGAATTGCCTGTGGCAGCCAAAGGACAAGTGCTTGTGACCTCCCAATACTTGGGGAGTTGAGTAGAAATTGAGCTGAAATGCATGACAGAGCTGCCAGGCACATGGGGCTTGGCAACCCTCAGCTCTCTTGAGGAGACACCACCAAATACAAACATAAAAATCTGAGGCACAGTTACAAATGACCAGGTTAGTACAGAACAGACTCTTGGAGCAATGTCAGATTGGCAGGACTTTGCTATTAAAAAGTAGAGACCTGAGACATCAGCCAAGTCGTGCCAGGAGAGAAGGTACCACCTAGATAAGTCAGACATTAACCTACCCTGGGAACAGCAGAGTATCRTATGGCATATTACCGTGCAGAGCGGTAGATGTGGGAAGAGCTTTCAGCTTCCACAGGATAAGCTCACGTGGGACACGGCTCCCTTCACAGCTACTGATGGATTTGCTGCCAAGGGACTACAGAAGTCCCACGTGTGCTTAGCAGGTCCAACAACTGGATGGCAAACTCTGCCAACTGGTGAAGTTGGCTTTCATGTTTGGCTGCCAGCATTAGACAGAAAGGAAAAATACTAGAATTAGCTGATTTCCAGGGTATTCTAGCAAGTGAGGGAATGCTTTGAAAAAGAGCAACACGAGGTTAATTTGGCACTCCATTTCAAAAAGGTATAAGTTTAAATACCAATAATGTGGAATGGGAAACCTAGCCCCCCCAAAAAAAAAGTAAAACAGCAGTGCTGAAATAACAGCATTTAAATACAGGCATTACAGAGAGTGACTGCCTTTGAGTAGACCAAGAACACAGATAACTGGTGTTCAAAGAAACCCCCAAAGATGTTAAGTTTGGCAAAGTCAGAGACAACGTCTCAGTGGAGTACAACTGAATGCAGGTGGTATAGTCATCATCGTGGGGATGTGAACAATATAATACCAGTCCTTGTAAATGCACTGGCTTTTGTTCACAGCAGCATGTTTCAGTAGGGAAGTGGTAGAAGAAAGGATTTGTCTTAACTATTTGCATAATGAATAGCTATGTACTATAAATCATCATCCAGAGAGAAGAACTGAAGCGTCACCACCCCACAGTCTTTTTTTTTTTTTTTTTTGGGCACATGATGGTGGGAGAAATAAAAGGTGATGATGGAATTCACAATTCACTACCCAGTTTTGGAAGACAAATATTCTTCGGTATATAGTTAACAACACTTAAAGGCCAGAGATCCTGTTCAGTTCTGCCTGCTGATGCCCATGGGCAGCATTGCTGCAGACCAGCTCCTGCTGTTGCCCCTCAGAGAAGAGGTCCACACTCCAGTTCTCCTCCTTGTCCCTTGTGCAGAAAGTGTTGAGGAACCAGGAGCATATACTGCTGGGACATGAAATGCTCCATCTGGCAGCAGGAACCAGAGGCAAAGAGAGAGAGCTATAAAAGTTTTAAAAAGATTTGAAGCTGTCCAGGGAAAGGATTAATTCTTATTTAGCAGTAAATATCTCTTGTAAAACATGGTCCCACCCACTTCCCAATTAGTAATGCACCTGCTTTATGGCACAACTGTGCCTTCTCTGTGTGTACACAGTCTTTATCAGGCAAGTCCATAAGCCAGTCTGACTGGATAAAAATACATGGCTGCAGGGTGTGGCTAGTTGCATGTGACTTACAGACTTGGAAAGCTTGGTGGTTCAATCTGTCCTACTGAAGTCAATGGGAGTTTTGCCTTTTGATTTCAAAAGAATCAGAATTTCATTCCAGATTATGGAAACTGCTCCTGGGATAGTCAGAATGACGTGAAGATATTAAATAATAAAGGAATTTATACTCATGTGGATGTCAAAACAGGAAACTCTGCAGTGGATTCCTCTTTCTCTAGAAGCTAGTGGACAAGTGTGTACATAAGAACCGTCTCATCTGCTCCAATTGTATGAAATAATTTCCAGCTGTAGTGTTGTTGACATTACAGGAATAAACAAGAAAATCTGAACACATTTTGAGGGCTTCTTTCTAGATTTTGCTCACCATTTACTGGTTCTCCTATTATTCAACTGTCACAGTCTAGAAGATCACACTCATCAGGAGGCATATATCTCTGAAAGCAGAGGATCTGAAAATCCAGAATGTAGAAGCTGCAACAACTCATACAACAAGAACTAATATAACAATAACTATCACTTGTTACTGCAGGGTTCCTACACTGCAAGGATAAATTATCAAATTCCTAGTATAAAACATGCTCAAGTAGTCTCAAGTATGACTTTTAAATGCAGGGAGCATTTCCCTAGGGCTTTTCTCTGTCTGCAGCAGCATTGGCAAGTATGTCAAGTATTCTGCCACTGATTTAGGGGACTGGAAGCCACATGCTGTCATTGTACCTTACCTGCCATTGCCATCAGGTCATTGCTGTCTCTTGGCATCATGCTTACAGCAGAAAATTATTCACTTGCTTGCATGGTACACACAAAACAGACTATTTTTAGCTACCTGCATCTATCACAACACGTTTCTAACAAGACTTCAGGAATGAAAAGGAAGGGGTGAGAGGGATTGTGCATGGGTTTCCTCTCTTGCACTCCCCTGCACACACAGAGGGACACTCGTGCACGGTACCACAGGTTACCACAAGCAGTGACACAGAAATGTGCAAGCTACTCCTTGTGCTGTCACTCCAGCTTTATCTTTCTCCTGCACTGAAGAGACATACAATGATCACAGTGGTATGAAGGCAATTTTTCTTGTCCGCTCCCTCAGCTCAATAGGGTTTTGAAGACACAGTCATGGCCCGTATTTTTCACAATGACTCAGAAGTATTTTAAATTATTTTCATCATGAAAGTGAGCCTTTTGTCGGTAGTTGGAAATCTCTGCCAGAGACACTTCACATTTTTAGAGTCTAACTTTCTGACAGAAAGATCTAATATGTCAAGTGATGAGGAACACATTCAAGGCACTTTCCCACAGTACTGTGCAAGCATCATCTCTAGTTATGACCTCTTGGAAAAAAATAGAATAGAATAAAACCTGCAAATACTGTTTGGTACATTAGGGTGATGCAATTATTTTTCCTAACAGAAGAATCTTTCCATTTGAAAGTCCTGATTGTTTCAGCTAAGTCAGTAATGTTTCTCTAGCACTCAGAGCACAGCATGGTTGGATTTTCTGGTGATCCAGGTCTAGATTTTGGCTTGCTAGTAGTGATAGAGTACAAACAACTATGTGACAACTACAAAAAGACTAGGGYTTGGTGTCAAATATGTATTGGCAGTGTTCCTACCTAGCACACTGAAGGCTCTCTGAGCCATTTCTTTAAGGGGAGAAAGGAAGAAAGCTAGAGAGTAAATGGTACAGGGGGCTTTAGCATCCTGTACTAGGGCAGAGTTGGTCACCTACTACTGAAACACACTCCACAGTTTAATTTGAATCACTGCAAGTATTCTTTTTACTAAGAACATTTCTAAATACGACACCACAGTACTGTGGGATTTGACATCTCTTTTTGGATTTATAGCTCCTGAGAAGTTTTAAATGGGCAAAGTATAATATCTTCATTCTTAGCTTAGCTGATCTTTGCAAGTTCAGAAAGGTGTTTGCTATTCACTAAGCCAACTCAAATAACCTGTTCCTAATAAAAAGGCAGTCATACTTTACAGATACAATGAAATATGAATCCTCAAATAGTTTCTCTGTATTTCAATTGCTGCAGTTCATTATGTTATGAAAGTTCATCTTGCTTTCTGCTATTATAATGTGTGGTTAAATTGTGCAGAATACATTCTAATTTCATTTTCAAATTATATAGTTAATTATTGCTTGTAAGAATTTTCTGAGTACTACAAAAATATAAAATCAGAATTAACACTTTGCAAAGAAAATATGAACAGGGCATACTGGTATTTTCTTGATCATTGTCTTTCTTTTGAGGGGGGAGAAGGGGAAGCTAAGAATTTATTTCAAAGATTTATTTCAGAGACCTGACATTGCACTTAGTAAAAGAAGATATGACTAACTACTACAGGGTTGGAAAGTGTAGAAGTAAATCAGAACTCAACCTTATCTTTCTACTACTTACATCTAATCTGTTAACAAGTGAGAARCCATTACAATGCTGAAGAATGGGAAAGATGATTTATGTTCCACAATTCAACTCCTATTTTCACAAAGGCAAAACATACATGAAAATTCCAACAGTTCTTTGTTGCTGAAAGTAATTCAAAAGCTCAACTGTCTTTTGTAATTATGACATAGTTGTTAGACTTCCCTACAAGACAAATGATTACCATACTGCYAGTATGATTTTAAAGAGCTTCAGGSCCAAACTTATATTAGCAGAAATCTTTAATTAATTACCTTTAACTTCCCTCCAAATATCAAACATCAACTTTCCAAGAATGATTAGTGATTTTGACCACTCAGGTTGTGACAAATTCTCAGAAAAATGCAACTGCCAAAAGATACTAGTCACTCAACCTTCTGGAAACAAAGCCTCTGCACAAGTGTCTGGATTAAAACCCTCTCAAGTTAAGCACTGTAAAAATAATTACCTTTGAAAACACCTTCACGGTGAAGAAACGGCCAGATTCAAACTCCAAAATACTGCAATGTAAATGTGCTTCCTAGCTGCCGTCTTCAGGGTTAAACTGAAAAAGATCTTTCAAAGTTACAGGAATTCTTTTAAGAGAAGGGTCAGTGCTTTCGCAGTCCTCATCAAGGAATTCTGGGGCTCTTGTCCAGCATGCAATTGCTAACAGCCTCTGCTCGGGCTTTGGTGGCAGTGCCGCATTTCTAGACGTGCTCAGGTGCGGCCATGTGTATCTGGCACTAAATTTGGGAACTAGCTGGTCCCTGAGTACCAGCACATGCATCAAACTAATGTAATCCTGCCATCTCCTGTATACCTTTAATCAGCAAGCAGCTGTGTTTCGCTTGCTTCCAGAAATATCCCAGCCTTGAATACTTCAAACAACATGGAAAAACCCACACTTTTATGGAGGTTAAAGCAAAGAGGATGAGAGGAACAAGTTGCAATCAGCTCTCTGAGGTGTTGCCTTTATTGTTGCCTAATGTTATTTATTGCAGCACCACATTCCCTTTGAAGCATAATTAAAAAAGATAAATAACCATACAGCCTTCCACAAAGATAAATTGATAGCTTTAGCCTTCTTCTGTTGGATTGCATTTTTCTAACATACAAGAGCGAATGGACCTTTCATATATTTTTTCCTTATTCTTCATACGAAGAATATTTCTTTAACCCCCAAACTAATTTGGGGTTCCCTATCCAATCCAGTATTTCACTAGAGTCACAATAAAACACTCCCTTTTCCAGGTGATAGCCTGTCCTTTACTACATGTGTTAGGAAAGGTCTTTCCTACCAGGTATTCTGTGATGAGCTATGCCCTGGGTCACTGGCCCATTCACCTCTCTGCGAGGATCAGTTTTGCAGACTGAGGCACTCGTGCTCTTTTCTAGCAGATTTTTGGTGGCAGMTTATTGATTAGGAATCATTTGCATCACAGTTAGGGCAGTAATAGACTAGCACATTCACTAACTAGATACTGCAGATATCACAGCAGACTTTCTCCTGGACTACAAAAAATGAGAACAAGACTGTCACCTGCCCCACACGATAGAAGTAGAAATGCAGTTAATGCAGATCAGTTGCACACAAATAGTAAAATTGTTTCCACTCTATCCACTGTCTCCTGCACTACTGCAAGCAAAACAGAATTCACAAGGCAGCAAGACACAGAACAACGAGCTTTGAAAAGATGTTTGGTTGAAGGCAGCATGTGATCATAAGGCTCCTACATTGCAAAACATTTTTGTTACTACACATTTAGCTTGCTCTATGTACATGCTCAGGATTATGTCTGGAACAGACATGCTGGATTAGTGACTTTGTTTTTAGAGTAGATCATCTCTTGGTAAATATTYGCACTTTGTGAGTTAGCTTGCCTGCAAAACTGCTCAACAATTTATCAGGCTGAACACAGAGCTGAGTTGCTGATTCTTTCAGGAGTTTGCTAAAAATGATACAAACTAATGGTGCCTGTTTGACTTCTCCTAGGAAACAGAATTAATTAGTGGATCTACTAGACTGGTGAATTTTTGATAAACTGCTTTGTTTTTATAAGTTTGAAACTGAAGTGTCAAACTCTTCAGACTCAGTGGTGTTGATTTAAAGCATACTATAAGTATGTTTTAAAACACTTCCGCTTTTAAACAGAAATACATTGTAAGAGCTACAGACAAAAATTAGTACCTATACTATATGAGTGCGTGGAAGTGTACCAGCAATRGCTAAGAGCAGCTAAATTTACAATCCAATTTACAACATTAAAATATATCAGTTTGATTCTGCAATACCTAGTTCATGAGAAAATCCTACAACCAAAAAAAGAGTACTATAATGAGAAAACTACAGTGTATGTTATCAAACACAGAAAAGGATTTTTAAAATATTAAAATCTTTTCAGCCAAGAGATTGCAGCAAACTGTTTGTCTATAAGATGAACTGAAATATTCATTTCATAGGCTTTGAGTCATTAAAAGAAATTGATTCTTAATCTCTTTATTGTCTACATCCTTCCTTTCTTCAGGTATATATAAGTACCTGAAATCTATAAAAGGGTGTCATTTATTGTCTTAAAGATTTTTTGTAAGCTATAATGCCTCCTGAAAGGCTACTCAGGGAAATTTATGGGAAACTACTTTGTTTGGATGATCTTTACGTTTCTTTTAGTTTAGTTAGCACTGACCTGAGACTCTTAAAAAAAAAAAAAAGATAAAGATACTTGACATAGTGCTTCAGAGGATTTGCAAAAGGCAGAGGTCTACATTAGAATAAAGAATAAGGATGAATTGTTTTAATAAATATATATTCACATAAATAGTGGATAGACAAACATGAAATGCAAGCTTCTCGGGTTCTCTCCCATGTTTTCTGAAGCAGTGCATTAACATCTATGACTAATACTAAAATAATACCAGACTGAGAAGAAAATACTGATTTTAGCTTTTAGGGAAGTTGCTGTTCCAACTTTGAAGTCCCCCCCTGTTTTAGCAGAATCATCCCATAGTTTTATCAATTTTCACAGTTAAACAGACTGGTTACAGTTGTTTGAAAACTCTGCACTCCCATTTCTCCATTTGTAGCTCCCTCACTTGTTACAGTTTTGTAGACACAAGCTTTCTTAAAAACATTAAGTTCTTCATCTTCAAATGGGAAATTGCTTTGTTCCAGAATTTTGCAGTAATAATATTGGTACCTGAAATACAGATGTCCTCAAGGAGAAATTGATAAAAACAATCATAGCATGATATTTTATTAGGATGGCACAGAAGAAGGGATGYTAGGCAGAAAGTGGGAAAGCCTTTTTAGCACATTAGGCTTGATTAACAATGGCAGGACTTACCTGACTTTCAGAAACTCTTCCCCCAAATCTTTGCAGAGGTTATCTCAAGGATGCTGTGGACTAGTGTAATTTCTCTTTGGTGTGCCAAGGTGAACCACACAAATGCCTCCAATAGCTTTCAGCTATTCTCATGTGAGACAGATTGCTGAGCTTCTGTTTGGCTTTAGAGATGCTAGCGTGCCAGTCACTGGGCCACAGGATGACAAATTACCTCTCTGCCAATATGAGAGCTGGGACAGTTCTCTCCACAGCCTCCACCAGATGGGCCTAATTAAACTATTAGCCAATGAGTGAGGTCTGATGGCTCCATTAGGAATCCTCCTGTGCTTAAATAAACAGCTCAAAATAAATAGTTTTCTCAATTAGAATGTTGTTCACATATTTTCCTGGGATATTCGTTAGCAGAGTATCTGTTTTGTCTCCTTTTTCCTAATAGGACAGGACCTTCCTTGACATTATGCRTAATGTCCTATGACATTAGGACTTTGACAGTTTCAAAAGGCAATAATAGTATTAATCGATTTGATTTGTGCAGTTAAGCCCTCTCTTGTGCCTCTTCCAAAGAGTCAGTTTTGCTGGACTTCAAGACAAGGATTTTTCTTCTCTTATCCCTCCCATACAGTTTCATTTAAACCATACAGTCTGCTACTGTGTTGGGTTAAAGCCTGTCAGTGGCATGTGTAACATTACTGCAGCCTAGCCCCTTTACATATCTCCTGTATCTCCTCAAGCCATGATCTCTTCTCCTCCGCTGGCTTCTTTCTTCTCCCTTTAAATTACTGCTTAGAGTGCATGGTAACTTCTCCTGCACTAGTAAATGCCTTCAGCATCCACTTTTAGCCCTTTTCCTTCACCATTTTCTCCCATTTTCACCATTTTATTCCCCAAATTCGTTTTAAACTCTATATATTTTACATAGAAAACAGTTTGTSTACCACAAATTTGTTCAGCTGTGTCTCCAGTTTTTGATATGGAAGATTCAATTTAAACCTGAATCTGTAAATGACTTCTACCCCTCTGTTTTCCCTATTTAAGATTTTCATCTTAAAGCCCCACCTATGCATTTCTTGAGTTATCATTGACATTTAATTTCCTAAATGCATCTTTAGAATTTTAGAATTGAGAACTAACTTTATTTCCTGCTCAATTTGTGTAAGATAGATAAATTATATAGTGAATGCTAATGGTGATTAAATATTTTTTTTCTGATTTTGAGGTAGAAGTTGGTGCCACAGGGAAAAAAAATGGATGCTTCACACACTGAGAGAACCCTCTGGCAACAGTGTTTGACTCACTGCTTSAAATGAGTAACTAAGATTTTACATAAAAAAATAAACAAGTAAACAGATTCTTGGGAATCYTTCATGCCAAATCCAGTATTATCAATGTAACTAATTTGTACTATCTGAACTGCAAAAGAATAAGATACTAGCACTATGACTTCACGTATTTAATTTTCACTCATTTGATATTGATTCTCCATTTGCTCTGATAGAGCCATTTTAAGATACACTAATTGCTGCAGAATAAAATTGGCATTTAAGTTTTTTATGTTATAAAATACATTGGGCTGTGAACCCAAAATTGTTTCTATTTAGTCACTGAAAGGAAACAGAAAATGAAATCATTAACTCTAGGTGAGAAAATAGGGTACTTTTACAGACAAATCTTGTGGAGCTGTGACAATTTGTGTCAGCCAAGGATCTGTCCCTCAGTGCTTTCAGGTAAAAACTTCAGGCAGTAAAAAATCTTCCTTATTCAAAAAAATTACTTTAATGTCACCAGGATTAGACATATTTTTAATTTGAGTATTTTTCTGTGAAAGCCTGTACTTGAGCTGAGACACAAATAAAATATTTTGCCATTTTGCAGCAGCCTCTGAAATCATTATTGAGATCATCCAAATAGAGCCTTTCCTCTATTGTCTTATTGGACTGGAACRAAACCTCAGTACCTCCCTCATCATTTGGCACTTCCGTATGCGTTCTTGTGGAGCCCTTAGAAAGTAGGCAAGAATTTATAGAAAAAAAATACAGATACCTAATGCTAATGATGTCAGCAGAATTCAGGGTTTCAATAACTTTGTGCCTAGATCTGCTTTTGAGCTCCTGTGGGGAGACAGGAAGGAACAAATGTATTGGAAAGCAGCACCTTTAGTGCATCCTGGATTCCTCTCGGTACTTWACCACCACTTAAGTTAGGGATGTGTCTTACCTCATCACAAGAGAGGTCCTCAGAGAAGAAAGATGAATATGCAAATATGTGTGAACATCTTTTGATAGCTGCAGAAGATTAAAGAGCAAGATTGAAAAATAATGCTTTTATGGTTACCATGATCTTRTTTAAGGGCTGATGGCATTTCTACTAGATGAGATCGACATGAGATCATAAAAAGAATACAAAAGCACAGGTACCTGGTGAAAGTACATCACGAAAACAAACAAAAAAAAAATTGATGTGTGTAATGTGTGAGAAGGAAATATCTATATTCTCCAAGGCAGAGAATTTTCTCCATCAAAATCAATCCTTCTGGTCTTTTCAAGGAGGAATAAGCATGATTGCCTGATTTACTGTGTTGTTACCTTGGCAAGCTACTTTCTATCAGTTGCCCCTCTCCGTACCTAAGCTGGGCCTTAGTGAGGACCCTGCCCTAAGCTGGGCCTTAGTGAGGACCCTGCCCCCATTATTGCCTTCTACCTGCCCTGTGCCCTGTGTGTCTGGACTGACAGCAGCATTTGGTGCATAGTGGCTCCCAATCTTTAAGAAGGACATCTGGTACCACTGAAGGGAAAGGTGAGATTATCAGAAAGAGCCAGGAAATTTTCACTTGCTGCAATGTAGGAAGACTCCTTCTCATAAGATCCCAATTTATGTTAGGACATACATAATTTTGCTAGAAAAGCTACAAAGACATCATCAATAACCACTCAAAACATAGAAGGATTTGTTTCTTTTTTCCATTGTTTAGTCTGAAGAACTAAGATTATTGCTAGTGTTGTGATTCTAGGTTGTTTATGGCTTTCTTAGTCCTTAAAAGATAAAATATGCCAAACCTAACATTATTAACACAGCTCAGAACATGCCCGTGCTTGGCACATTGTGTTTAATTGCAGCTTTGAGCTAACATGGGCTCTTTGTTTAAACTTCAACTGTTGGAATTGTCATATTGCAAAATTTCACTGAAGTCCCACTTCTCCGCCTGAAGTGCCATAATGCTAGCCAAGTGGGGAAAAGGGTTCTTCTGAGATTGATTTTTCAGATACCGTAGTTCTGTTCAATTGAATTCACTCAAGTAGTGGTTAACATAAACACTGTGGAGAGTATGACATGTCAAATTAGCAGCTTTGCAAATCTCCTGTTAATTGTCAGCCTAATTAAAAAATTGCTAATTATAATGTTTATAACTTCAAATAACTGCTCAGCTATAAAGCACTGGATGTCAGGTGTAAACAGGGGGACTGAAAGAAAAAAAAATCAATCGACATCTGTTAATTTATCAGAGGCAGTGCACTAAATTGAAAAATGGATTGCCTAATGCACTGTAAATCTGCATTACGATAAAAGACCAATTCATTTCAACACCTGCTTAATAAATGATAATGGCCATCTTTAGTGGCTAGCCCTAGGGTTTCTTCTGCCAATTAGACTTAAAATCCTGCTTTTACCAACATAAGACCACAAACTGATTGCACCATGTCAGAATGCATATCATATCTCCTCCTTTCTTTTTGTTGSTAAAAATGAATAGTATTTATAGATGCTTTCTGTAAAAAAAAACTGTTGGATTTTCTAACACCATAAAGAGGAAATCTATCTCATCCTTCAAATGTACTGACATTCCTCTATTTAGACAGACTTAAATGTGTTGATGAGCTAGAAAAAAAATTAAAAATAAAATTAAATAGTGTCAAGCACCTATTTCCAGTTTCTCTATCTGTTGCTTGCTTTCAGTACCAGCTATACCACTGGAAGTTCGTATTTGATTTTGTATTTTTCTGAAGATAGTTACTCTGATCTGAGAGATGATGCTCTTCTGTGGTTTATAGGACCGATTAGTTACTGATAGAAGTATTAGTAATTTTCTGGCGACCGCAAACTGCCTGTAAGAGCTGACACCAGCTTAACTCTCCTGGGAGAGATAGGGAGCACACACAGCTGGTTCCTGTTTCTCTCTGCAAGAACTGAACTCTTTTAACTTGAGGGAGCAAGTGAAGGCAAAGGCAGAGACTAAATGAAGACCACATGTCTCAAGGAAGTACTAAGATTTTCAAAAGTCTGAGAAATGCTTTTCAGAATGAGCATGATGCTGTTGTTTCCTAATCCCTAATGACCACATTTTTGGCTCTTGACCAACATCAAAGTTTGTGCTCAGTTTAATGTAGCAATGTTTGAATCTATTTGTCTTTCCTGGACTGAGCATTAACTGGTAAAGTGATGTCCTTGGCAGATGGCAGCAGCACAGCGGCAGTTGCCATTTCTCACCAAGAAGTGACCCAGGATATTGTGCTGATGGAAGTTATTTCATTGTGGCATGTCCATCAGGCAACTCTGCTTCCCCTATTCACTGAAACACACTCCGAGGGATTAGGTAGCTTCTGAGTGATAGGATAAAGCTGGTCAAGAGGCCTCTTACATTTTTTTTTGAAACTGCAAAGCTTTGATGGCATAATATTAAGTTACAGCTAAGCTAATGTTTAAGACTGTTTTAAAATTGTGTGTTGTGACAAAAGGTTCAAGTACGGTTTAGGATAATATTAGATCTCTCTGGTCTTGCTTTGTATTTCCCTTCCATTCATCAAACTCTTACTCCCTAACCCCAAGATCTAAACATTCTTTTATTTCCCACAAACTCTTACAATTATTTTATGTTATAATTTAATCTGCAAGCTTCAAACAGTACTAATATCTGTAGCAAGGACAAAAACAAAAAGCAAAAAAACTCTAGTCCTTGACCCAAGCATCTAACAATCAAATTGAGGCCAACACGAGTTGAGAGGAGCAAAATGAAGAGAATGACTCGTAACCAAACACTGCACCAATGTTTAGATGTTACTCACCCYTCCTTGCCCTACAGACTCATCTTTATATTTTGGATTGTGTTGTCCAACCCCCAATTTGCTATATCCTCATGAAAATCGTGTCTGCGGTTTTTGCGCAAAAAATCAAAAACAGAATCAAGAGCCTTACTAGGCACACAGGAGAAAAGGTGTTAWGGGGGAGGCTCATCCAAAATGCCTGTGCTGTGACAGAA